AAAAAAACCTGCGTAGAAAAATTATATAAGATCAGCCGCGCAGGACATAATTCTTATAGAAACGAGTCCATGAGTAAGAACTATACAGATTGATGAAATCAGTTCTCTTGTAGAGGTTATGCGAAATGATGGTAAAAAAATTTATGTAGTTGCACAAAAAAAGACCAATTTAAAATTTTAATAGAAACAAATTCACATACCTTGATCCAGAAAGGCTCAACTCTTCCGCAGCATCATGGAATTCATCTTCCATATCGTCGCTATATGCGGATACTGAAACCAGTCACTCATTACCCCAGATAAACTTCTGTTTCGAGTACGGCATGTTTTATGGCGAATTCTTATTAGCCTCGCAAACTAACAAAGAGAGGAATTGATCAGAATTGAATCAATAGTCACATGGATCGAGCAGCTTTTTTTAGCAATATTCTCCACAAAATCTGGCAGCGAAAAGGTCTATTTGCCATGGAAGTCTGTGCAAATAAAAATACACAGGCTGCGCACGTAACATCAAACTCGCAAAATGATTAGCTAGATATTATTCAAATAGTCCTAGTCGATCAAGGGAGTAGAAATATTATGAATGACAGCGTTCTAATACTGTGTAGCAAACAGATACGAAAGAGAAGAATTCTTATGCGAATTAGATAAAAACTGGGAAGAAAAGGACGGATATGTTAGAAAGGGGCAAAACTCACATGGAGGTTTAAACGTTGTGTCCGTTAAAGTTGCAGCCCTTTCTAGGCTTGAATGTTGCTTTGCCAGCGTTTCTAGCTGTTCCTAAAACAATCGGATAATTTGCTGCTAAACCTAAAGAACGTTATTTGCCTTCAGCCAAATATATACCAAAAATGACAGCATTAAAAAAATGTTCAACAAAGCCTTCAGAGCAAAACGATCTTTAAAAATCGCACCTGCAACATAACTTTTTCCTTTTGTTCTGTGATAACAACTTTACCCATTCGTCGAGAACCACGATCAGAGAGTTCGATGAACTCTTCAGCTGCTTTTAGTACAGCAGAAATCGTGATCTGAAGAAAGCTGATTAATACTTTTCAGAGTTCTTTTCTTTTTCATTTTCTTTTACCTATTAATGTGCGAGAAAATAGAGCAATGTAATCAGTTTACTGTTTACCTTGAGCAAAGCCGCTCTCTCTGATAACGTCTTCCTATCGATTTCTGTTTCGCTTACACATCGAACTAATTCGTCACCATGTTTCTCTGAAATGCAGCAGATTCGAACGGATTATTCATCTAATTGTTCGCTTTGGGTTACTATCCAGTGTGGGATATTAAATAGACAAATAACAATGACAGTATGTTCTTTTGTGTATAAGTCATAAAATGCTATAAAAGCTACAAAGACATTCTTCGCTAGA